GTAAGTACAAAACCTTTGATGCCGCATTATCAAAGTGCCGATGGTTAAAACATAACTATGCATGCACTCAGTTTGATTTTAATAGATATTTTTTTATTCGCTATGTTTATGGTATTAGTCGTAATGCGCATAGGTCCAGTTTTTCATATTCTTTGATACAGTTTTTTGCGTCTCATAGAATTCCTAAGCGTACCTACCTATACACCGAACTGTTACACCTAACTACTCAGTGCAATAGCGCTAAGTCCTAGCTGCAAGACGCAAGAGTCTTGCAGGCTATGTCTTGTTCTTGCTCAAGTCTTGCACGGTCAGTCTTGGTCTTGGTCTTGCTAAAAATACGCGGTCTTGTTCTTGGTCTTGGTCTTGCAAAAACGCAAGAACAAGACCAAGACTGCAAGACCAAGACTGAATTTGGGCAACACTAATTGGAACGTTTAACATTAGCGTTTCTTTTTTACTTTTATAATTTACTTGTACAAAATCACGTGTCAGTTGTGATTTATAACGTAGAAATATGTTTTTGAATTGATTTATGAATGAACTTAAGTCTGCTTTTTTTAAGGGGGGAAAATCTCCCAATGACTGCTCCCGTCTGGGTGAGGCTAGAGGGAGTGTCAGGCTCTTACTGACTAAAAACCACCCCGTTCCTTCTCCTGCACGTCGAGCCGGAGCCCCGGATGACGACGTTCTGTAGATTGATTCTAGGAAAAAAATAGTATAATTATTAATCCCCAAATAGGAAGAGGTGCACGTGCAAGTCCCTTGTGATAAGAGATGAGTCATGAGTGACCTATGAGGTATAATTCAAAACTGCGTACCTACTAATGCGTATTTTTTTTTAATTAAATCCAAAAATTTTATTGTAAACCAAGCCAGCAATAACAAACATTGGCAATAAATCACTGAATTAGATTTATCTTCTCACTCTCTTACGCAGCATATTCAGGACATCTGAAAACTTTATACAAATGCTAGTTTCATTGGACTAATTTAAAACATTTTTATTAAAAATTTTCATTCACCTGTTTCACCTAGGCAGACGTTTAGAAAAACTCGAAATTCAAGTAAAAAATATCTTAACTTGTTTAGCAGCGCTGTAATTGCGAGGGCTGCCAAGATAAGCTCGTTTCTTTTTAATTTTGCTTCTTGAAATTACTTCAATTCCCGCTTTGAATAAATGAAGACTGCACAACGTACTTTAGACGTTTTTTTTTAATTTGTTTTATTACCCTGAACCAGATCTGGGTAAAGTTCTCGAGAGCTTTTAGTTGTAGGTTTGATTAACTAGCGTTAAGAAGGTTAAGAAAAATATCCGGCTAAGTGCTACCGTGGACAGTGCTGCGTTTTAGAGGAGAGAATTAAAAGTTTCGTCTTTTGTTAGTTGGGGCATTAATTTTGTTTTGTATTTTCATATTTGAATGATTTGAAAGTAATGTGTGGATATAAACTGCATGATAAATAACTAGGGCTAACATAAATAAAAACTAAAGTATTAAAAATCTAATTAGTCCGTTAGTTAGGTAATTAAAAAATATTAGACACGTATTTTTTTATTTTATCGTATAAAAAAACAATACTAAAATAAAACGAATCAAAGTTTAGGAGTGGGAGGTAACTACGTCATTTTAGAGTATAAATCGTACTCAAAAGTGATGTCACACGATATTTCAAATCAATATATCTTCGAAACTAATCGTTTCCGTAAGAAAATAAAAAATACGTGTCTAATGTGTTTAAATAATCTACCAGACGGACGAAAATTAGTCATGTACCCTATTAACATAAGATATATAGAAAAATGGGATACTGAAAAAAACCAAGAAAAACTAATAGAAAGCGTCAAAAAATTATCCTCATCGTTGTCTTGAGGTGAGTGCCTAAAAGACTGGCAGTATTGCTACTTTGGACGGCACAGAAGAATTTGAGAGTATATTAGTAGGTACGTGGTTGGCGCAGTGACTGAAGCTGGTTGGCGCGTAATTTATCGTGATTTTGCTTCGCATGAAATAATTCTTTGTTATTGGTGTACTTATATTATTATATACTTATTGGGAGTGACGTGTCTGTAAATTTTTATGCTAGTCAATGTACGGTCAAAGGTCAAAAGTCCACTGCCACCGTAAGACTACTATCGGCTGCACTGCAGCGCTTATACACACATGCACACGCATATTTTTATCCGTGTGCGTACGCGTGCGTGTGTTTATGCGTATGCACGAGTTTTTATGCACATTAATATGAAATTACTTACGCATTGCCGTGTGAACATCACTCACGGTGGCTGTGGACTTTTGACATTTGACTGTACTTACGAATATGATAGCAACAATAACAATCTGTTATAATATGCATAAAAATATTCGAAGAAATATTAATACAATTTTCTTTAGCATTTGATCTCAATATTTCAATTTGCTGTGGAATATTAATGATAAACAGACGGCCAACACCGCAGGTGTTACTTTTTACCTCGATGAAATCAATTTCTTATATTAAAAACATATTGCGCTTCAACGACTTTTCATAGAAAATGATTGGTTTTTTTTAAGAGCAGATAAATAAAATAAGAAATGTTTCATAAGTAAGCACTAGAATATAAAGTACTAGATATGTACATATACATTATACATGCGATCAAGAACATGCTTATTTATGCTGAATATTTTCCAGTGTCGTGGATGTGTTTACAAATGCATTTTTTTCACATATCCAACGTACCTAAATCGGATACAACAGCTATTAAATAATAACAATCAAAGAATTACTCCATGCGAAAATTAAAGATGCGACGGTGCAGTAAAACTTCTACATTAAAACCAGAGATTCTACTGACTTGTATTTGTGAATACATCCAATGATTGATTGATTGATCAACCAATAATTTGTTAGGTATCATTCAATGATTGGTGAATTTGGAAGATCAATTTAATATGTCATAGAAATGAATGATTTGATTGAATAAAATGGCAAATGGCCAATCACAGAGCTTGATAAGACAGCGATTGACAGTGAATTAATTTAATTCTGATTTGTGATTTAAGACATTTGACATTAACATAGATCTCAACGTTAAAGTTGTCGTTTTTATATTTAACTTGTAAAAATTGGTATTATTTTACGAGAAAAACGATTTGAACACCTCACATCCAGTTGCGTACAATTACGAACCAATTTAGAAATACAATTCAGATCATATGTAGTAATCATACGTAGGTAATATAGGTATTAAAAAAAAAGTCAAAAGTCAAAGCATTTATTTCAATTAAACCATACTTTTGAAACTACAACAAATACTAAATAAATAATAGTCTGTCAGTTTGTCCGTAAAGTGAAGCTAGGTTTTCATTACAAAATGTGGATTCGAATGGAGAAGACCGAGCAAGAATCACCATTCGTTATTCTTTTACAAAAATGTCTGTTCTACAATGTCTCTGATACAAATTCTAATACTAGACATATAGGTATATATATATAAACCCATTCAGCCGTTCTGAGAGAATTGAGAGACAAGACATTGACAAACATCCAAGCACTTGCGGAATAATAGTAAGACAGACTAGATATAAAGCCATTTGGGACATACACCGTCAGGTATTTTTTTGCTACATTTTCTGTATAAACCCTACACATGCACTTCCTTTTGCATCATACCTACGGGGTTGGCAGACATCCAGGTAGCATCGAGCCACTTCGGAACAAAAGTGTATCAAAAACGTTTTTGCAAAAATATTGTATTTTTGTGCATTTTTTCGTGAAAATGTTCACAATTTTGTTTTGATTGTAAAATTAACTTTTTATATAGTATTAGCAAAAATCGAAACGTTTGATATTGGGATTGTTATTTTGGAGAACAAAAATAGAAATGGTACAACTTTAACAAACAATATTTTATTTGTTTTTTATTATAAAAATATATGTAGAGGCATATTTGTCTTTATTTTATTTCAATTTGTTACACAATCGAGTACAATGGAATGGATAGCCAATTGCAGAACCAGACTTTACACACATCAGTGTCCTTTTCATCAAATTTACTGTGGGAATATTTAATGTTAGCACCGTTATACATGCCTATTACTTAAAGTAAATAGATTCATTTGAGTATTAAATCATCAAAAGAAAAAATATACTGACTTAAATGTCACCACTGCTACTTTCTTAATACTATAAATACACTTAGGAAAAAATAGAGCCACTAGCCATTTTTTCATTTTATTGAACCACAAAATCAACAAACAAAATGCTCCCATTTCAAAGCTAACCAAATAGCCATTTATTTCTTTTTTTTATACCACGACAGTGGCAAAAAAGCACACGGGCCACCTGATGGTAAGCGGTTGCCGTGGCCTATGTACGCTTGCAACACTTATTTATGTATACTTACTTATACGACATACATTACCAATTAATAAAATACTTGTATGAGAAAATATTTATAAAGAAACTAGCTTCTGTCCGCGACTTCGTAGGCGCAATCCCGTTTTCTGCCGTTCCCGTAGGATTTTCAGGATTTTTTTCTGTCATAAGAACCTTCTCCTGACAATAACAAACACAACAAAAAAATCAGAAAAATCAGTCTAGTCGTTCTCAAGTTATAGTGTGACAACAGGAAACGGGTTTAATCTTTATATATATAACTCTTCTGTGAGTGTGTATGTCACTGTACTTCTCTCAAACGACTGGACCGATTATGATGAAATTTTTTGTGTGTGTTCAAGGGGATCTGGGAATGATTTAGATTTACAAATCAGCCCGGCAGATGGCGCTGCAGTCGATGTTTAGGTTATTTATCCTAAACAGCTGAACTAATTTGAATGAATTTTTGTTGATACATTCAAGTGGATATGCAGGACAACGTCTGTTGGGTCCGCTAGTTTTTATATATATATATAGATTAAAAAGAAAAAACTCTAGCGGCTCCGTTTCTATGATCCCAAGTGTAGTTTTATACCCCTTCTTTATAATTTCGATATTTTTCCCCAACAACATACCGTAAAGTACTACATACTATCCAGAGTTCCAGGCTTGGAAGACGGGAAGCTATCAAAGAAGGCTGGGAAGTCAGAATCCGTGTCCCTATTGCTTACATAAAAACTATCTTTGTTCTTATTACGGTACGGGTAGTAGGTATCCTCGTGCATATATTTTGTATGCTTGTGGCAGTTTCCATCTCGCCATAGGTTTAGGTCAGGACCCTCTATGTGTGTGCATGGGACTGGCATGTTTCTGAAAGAGATTGTTATATGTTTTTGTAATAACTATCGTGAGACATTCTAAATTAACTAAAAATTACGAGGAAATATAATGAGGAAAGCTGTACTAGTTTCGAGTTGATGATGATAACAGATGTTCAGTGGGCTGCGTGATATCGACGCGCACGCTGCTCGTAAGGAAGAGTCCCTCTGGTACTCGAAACTAGTAGAGCTTATCTCAGTATATTTACGTAAGTAATTCGTAATTTTAGTTAGTTCATTATATTATACGTATTAGTCATTATTATTAAATTGATTAAAGCGTAGCATTGCATTAGTCGTTTTGTTAATCAATGATTTATAAAAGGTTCGGTAAGAGTTTTTGCGATTTTTTATATGTCAAATAGTAGTACGTACCCAGGTTTGACATTCATGAAAGCATTAGCCTGAATGTATTTGATACCCTCGGCATTGTCACAAGCAAGCCGAGCCATACTGGTCCTCCGTATTTCTTGCAGTTGCTCTGTGGATATATTTTAAATTAATGAGAGGAAAATGTAAAATAGTGTAACACAGTGCAGCCTTTCAAACTGCAGCCTTTTAAATTAATGTATTTGAGTCTGTCCGATGTCCTATCAATGTAAGAGCACTATGCTATTGCACACACACACACACACAGACACACATGGTAAAGAGCACAAATCCATGGCATTATAAAAATTATGACAACTGATGAAGTCAATCATATTTTTGACCTTTCAAGAATCGAACTAGATTCACTTGTTTTCCTAACACTGACTTACCCAAAGTAAAGCTGTGGAACTGGTCGCCTCTTTCAAACCAAAATCTGTCAGAGAATCTAAAGATTTGCAGCTGTTTCGTCATGATGCAGAACAGCGTGGGGCCCACGTGGACGCCTTGGAGATGGTTCTCTGACATGATACCAGCCAAGAGGTCCACGTCATCGACATTTTCGTATAGTCTCTTTAGGGCTTCCACTTTCTAAAAAAAAAAATGTGTGATGATAGTTATCAAATCTACCAAAAGCATTTAATGATATTCTATGAATTTAGATGTAGATTTAATTTCTGCACAAAACATAAATATCGAAATTCATATCACGCAAAAAGTCTTTGACATATTTTTAACCTCTCGCGTGTTTCTCGTACACACGGGTGTACGAGAAACGCGCACCGATTGGATATTTTTTCTGTGACGTATATTTTCAAGTTTGCAACCCGTTCTTTATTTGATTGAATAGAATAGTTAATTCGCTTTTCTATTAAAATATTTACCCGTGTGTACGAGAACGCGCGTTTACGCGTGTGTACGAGAGGCGCGCGATAGGACATTATTATGAAACAAAGTATTACACATTAAAAAAAACTGTACCAACAACTATCAAAACACTCTTCCTTAAGAACGTTTTGTCACATTAAACAGCTAAGTAAAACTTAGTAGCTTCGTTAACTGTCACATAAAGAGCTCCAAAATGCTCGTCTAAGAGGCAGTGCTTTAGTTAATGTTTAGTCTTAGTAATAAGATATTACTACAGACTTGATAAGCAACTTGATATAAGGGAATGCAATTTAATTAAAGAGGAAGCTTTAGAACGCCTTCAAGAAGACTAAGTAATAAGACTGTAATCTTCTAGACGAGCGACAAAGAACTATCTTTGAATTTCGTAAGATAGTATTATAGAAAATGTTCAGTTTTAAGGCGATTTCTACTAAGAGCAAAATTTGTATTGTAACTTTCGTGAGACATACTAAATAAATTATTATGTTTTCGGCTTACTCACGTAGTAATTCGACGAGGTACTCGACTAGTTTCAAGCCATGCTAGAAGCTCATATTCATGAGCAGCATTTCGCAACCAGCGACGCGGCGACTGTCGCGCTGCTACCACATGGTAGCGCATAGCATGGTAGTCGCCGCATATCTTGAAACTAGTCGAGTTCCTCGTCGAATTACTACGTAAGTAAGCCGAAAACATAATAATTTAAAGAACAAAATTGTAACAACAATTTTCGATTAAAACCATAATAAATAATACATTAAATCTTTCTTTTTATGGGATAAGCCGGTAAACGAGCAGACGGATCACCTGATTGTAAGCAATCGGCGTCGCCCATGGACACCTAGAGCACCAAAGGCTTTACAAGTGCATTACCGGCCTTTTGTGGATTAAGAATTTGAGGATTGTTGTTGATTGGGGAGATTGGGGATGGGTAGGGGGAGGGGTCATTGCAGTCACTACCTAGTTTTAGACTATGTCGCATTCGTATAGACTATAGACAGACGCGAAAGGAGCATAGTGCTATATGTAACACCTGTAGAGACCTAGATAAGTACAGGTGTACAGAAATGGGTTGAAAATGATATAATAAATGTACAAATTGAATGCTACAAGCTATAATTACACTTCTGCTACCTACGTACTACCCACGAACAACTTTAACAGAAACAGATTGACTGACATTAAACTGTAATCACGTAATGAAGACGTGTATCCAACAATAGGATAATGACCCATATACATAATATAATACGATTGGTAATTATTCATGGATTTCTGTAATGTACGATACAGAATACGATGTATTGTTCCTATGGTAGGTATAAGGTCGATACTGAAATGTATGTCTTTGTCAATAATTGATAGAATAAGGTAACATTTAATAGCAAATATTCAGAGGGGCCGGCTTATGAACGGTTTAACTTAGTTATCGTGGTGAGGACAATTGGTTATGATATTAATTTTTGGGAATTAAATTAACTATCTTCTGTATGATACTAGTAGCAACAAAGATTATAGGCCGTGTGATGGTAAAGTCACTTGGTAAAAGGTATGACTTGACTACGTGAGAAAGTATATTTCCAAAAACGTATTGTTTTTGTTTAGTTTATTGAAGTGAATACTACAATATTGTGAATATTTTAGGCAAAATGTCAATTAACTAAAAATTACGAAGGCGTTCAGTGCTCTTATTTTTTTATACATTTTTTTTTGTTTTTTAGAATAAACGTAGTAATAAATCTCCAGTAAAACTCCAGGTCGGCTCCAGTGAACCAATCAGAGCGCTCGATACTATTACTTAGCACTCAGAATATTAATGTCAGTAACTCGTAATTCGTAATAACTCGCAATTAGTCGCAATTCAGCATTTCCCACTTGACAACACGGTTAGTGCGGTGGCTGGGCAACTGGCTGCCATGCAACATGCCACGGGTTTGATTCCCGCACGGAGCAACTCTTTGTGTGATCCATAAATTGTTGTTCCGGGTCTGGGTTTCATGTGTTTGTGAACTTGTATGTTTGTAAATGCACCCACGACAGAGGAGAAAATCCTAGTGTACTACGTATTTATTAAAAAAAGTTATTATAAAAAATATCAAATTGACAAAATAAAGTCTCTTAAATCACTTATTTATCTGTATTTTCATTTTTGTTAAAAATGTGTATAAGGAAAAATAGATAGTGTTTACCTCGATCTCCATAACATCGATGAAGTCTCTGAACTTCTTAGCTGGTTTCAGTCCACATAGGTGCCTGTAGTCGTTATAACCTCGCACCCCCATATCTCTCCCCCTTTGTATATCCAAAGCTGGTAAGTCATGGGCTTTTTGGAGTTTTCCATAGTAATTTTCTGAAATCTAAGAATAGAACTGTAGTACGTTCATATTGGGGAATTGGACATATATCCGTGCTGATCTGAAGTTGTTGTCTAAGTTCATATATGTATTTTTTTCGAATTTGGTTCTTAATCCATTAAACGCCATGGGGCGGAGACCGACGTTAGCGGAATATTTGTCTTCAATAGTTTTCTATTGGCAGTCAAAACTTTAATACATACACATTATACATAACCTCATGCCTGTCTCCCATGTGGTAGGCAAAGACTATCTATGGAACGCCAATTGCTACGATTTTTATATTCTTTCTTTGGTTTGGTTTGGCCAGTAAAAGTACCTATACAGTACCGTTACTATATGTTTTTAGTATGTAAAACCTAAAGTAATATTACTGGTAATCAAATAATTTTATCTACACTCGTATAGTTATATACAAGTTTACATATGATATATGACTGCCTCGTTGGCTGAGTGATCGCAAGTGCGACTGCCGGGCAAGGGCCTCGGGTTCGATTCCCGAGTCGAGCAAAGTATTACTGGGTTTTAAAAAAAATCTCAGTAGTAGCACGGAGTCAGGAATTGTGCCCGGTATATGGCAATAGGCTCACCCCCTATTACATGGGACTCATAACATAAATAGTGAAAAGTGGGTGTTACATTGTACAGTGGCATAAAAGGCGTGATGTTATGTATGTATATCTGTATATCATCTATATTTCTGCATTTAAAAATAGATTAACTCGTCGAGTACCGGTTTTATAGACACAATTAAAGAACAATGGGTCGCGGTCACCGGTGACCGCTTGGTGTTTGACAGTTTAATATTGTATACCACGTACATCTGGATCCTGAATGTCATCAATTTTTGCGGCGTACTGATGGAAGAGACCTCGGTTGAGTTCTTCGAAAATATTTCCTTTCTCTAGAAGACCAGATCTGAACATAGTTTCACTGTAGGAGTACTCGTCCTTGTAGTGATAGGCTTCTGTATAGGTTCTGTAAAGAAGTTTTATTAATGTTAATGAAAGGATTAACCTTGTATTTTTTTCGTGGGAAAATAATACCTAATCGTTCAGGGATCGCAGGGTAAAACTTTTGGTTTATCAGAGACTGCTGAGAAATGTGTAGTCTAGAGACTACAGACTACACATTTAACAACAGAGTCTTAGGAGTCGTCACCCACGGAAAAAGTAGGAAAAGTGCTATACCTATATTTTGTATTCTCCTCTGACACAGAAAAATGGTGACGTTATTATAAACTTTTTAAATTTCTACTTACTTGACTCGTCCGTCTAGGAATGTGTGGAAGTATCTGACTGCGATGTCGTACTCGGCGTACACGAGGGGTACGGCTTCAGCATCGTACGTGGTGAGATGTTCCACGTTTTCTGATATAACTCCGTAGTTCACCATGTTTCGAAAACCTATTTATAAAAAAAACACAGTCTTTAATAATAAAAAAATATTGTAAAAAAAATATCATAACATAGCATCAGGCCTTTTATCCCCGAAGGGGTAGGCAGAGGTGTTCATTATGCCACTGTACAATGTAACACCCACTTTTCACTATTTATGTTATGCGTCCCACGTAATAGGGAGTGAGCCTATTGCCATACCGGGCACAATTCCAGACTCCGTGCTACTACTGAGATTTTTTTAAAAACCTAGTAATACTTTGCCCGTCTCGGGAATCGAACCCGACACCCTTGCCCGGCAGTCGCACTTCCGACCACTCGGCCAACGAGGCAGTCATGTGAGAAAAAAATATCATAATCATATAATATTCGGTACTAATTTGCTTTGGTTTCCTATTACGATATTATTTTGTCAATTCAAGATACAACCAACGCGTATTTTACAATAAGGTCACATTTTGAAAACAATTTACTTCATCCCACATGGCATGTCATGGTCTCGAGTAACTTTTGAGTCGCAACTCCGTTTTGTCTGTTCACTTACTTTGATCAAAAACCACCTTATAGAACACTTTCTTTTGTTTCATATCATTCCTCATCCATCTTTTCTTTGGTACAAAGATCAAAGGATTTCATTGTAAAACGTTCGTCACTAATAAATTACGATGGTACAACAATTCAGTACTTTGTTTTACGTTTGTTTTCTATAGATGGAAGGTTTGATAACAAGATGTAATTAACAAAAGCTAATAAACAAAAGCTGAAAGTCGAGAAATTCAATTAATTAAAAGTTTCTACCGTTGACAATATTCATGAAGCTAAGAAAACTTTGGGAGAACTTTAAGCCTTACCTAATAAAGCAGGTAGCAACTCATACATGAAGATGTTAGAGGCCGTTGCAATGTTGATCTGGCGTGCTACTTTGAACAGTCGGTCGTCTTTCCAACAGGGATTTATTTTGTGAAGAGCTCGAGCTAATCTATTGTGTTCTCTCATAAAGAATATCGTTAAAGCCGTCGTTCGAAGGTCGTAATTACCGACTTCTGGGAATCCTGGGAATACAATAAATATTCAGTGTGATTAATCAAAATAACTGTTCATTTCGGAGTTTAAGGAAATTGTATATCAAGTAAATGTATTTAAACTCGCTTATGCCCGCTATTTCGTGCGCGCTATCTTGTTTTTTTCCCGTTCATGTTATTCGCGAAATCCTCTGATAAAATTAAACCTATGTTTGTCTCCTAGTTCTAAGCTAACTCCCCGACAATTTTACAGCCAAATGGATTTAACGTTCTTGAGTTTTATAAGCCTAGATTAGTTTCAAGATTACTACAAATATAATGTGATCTCTATAAAGCTACTTACCGAATTTATAACATAGAGTTTCAGTATCATTGTTCTGTAAACATACTTGCTCTGTCGCATTAGGTATGAGGTTCGTCACCATATTAGATACCATGTCAACCATTGAATTGGCCAATATATTTGCAATGGTATCCACAAGTACGTCAGCGGTCATATTGACCAACATCTGACTACTCATGTTCATCTGCTTTGTGAAATTAGACATTATGTTTGGCATCAAATCTAGCATCTTATCATTGTAATTATCAGGCATGATTTCAGGCATCATGTTAGGCATATTAGGAGCCATACTGCCCAACATGTCCGACGACAAGTTGGCCAACAAATCGGTCGTCATATTAGCTACAGTATAATTTTTATTTATCATCGTCATTGTTAGTTTAATCATCATATCGTCTTTTATATTTGAAATGATATTGTTTTTCATATCTTGTAACATTTCAGCTGATACGTAAGTTTTGTTGTATGTTATGTTTGCTGGTACGTAGCGGTTACTTCTGTTCTCGAGTATCAAAAGGCCGTGGTGATATGTTCTTACTTTAGACAGTCCATATGCATCTACTCCATATATTGTTGAAAGGTCTATCACTGGAGTTTGGAAGTTTATCTGGAAAAAGTACAGGTGTGAAAATTTGAGACTTCTATGAAACCGTCGGAGAAAATAATAATAAAAGTAACATGACAAGTTTGAGCAGATTACAAGTGATTTTAGTTTTTAAAAGAGTTTTAAAAACAGCCACTCAGACAGCGACAGTACCCCACTCTCCCCCGTGAAGGGAAGCGAACGATCATCGAGGGCTGATGGTAGGTCTACCACCGCCCGCCTCACGCTCAGGGCACCGCGCCACATCTCATCAACGTGACTGGTGAGGACTCACATAGTGTGAAAGTCTCGAGAAGAGCTTACTATAGAAATGATCCTATGAAGTAAGGTCTTAACTGTCGCCACCGAACCGACGAGGGTCATTCTTTCGCGGAGAATCTTAACACCGCGATTCACAAAATGACGTCACGGCACAGTGACATCTAGCGGCTCGGTTCTAGTATTGTCATTAGTCTTATTAACCATTAACCAATCAGAAACTTATTAGTTTTTCACAGAATTTGTTTGCTTGCTTCAGGTCATTGAATGATTTAGTCACTATTAAATTTTAGCACCACGTGGTATTTTTTTAGAATATGATTTGATAGGTCGTTGTCACGACTGCTTCTATAGATGCACACATTGCTCAGTAAGTTACTAAGGCAGAAAAATATTAAGGAGTTAAATGAAAGTAACAATATGTTCATTTATGTTCTCCTTTTTATTGAATTATCCTCAAACTCCTAATCCCCAAAAGACCGGTAACGCACTTGTAACGCCTGTGGCGTTCCAGCAGCTGTAGCCAAATGTCATTTAGCGCTTATTTACATGTAGAATAGAAAACCAAATTATATGGAATGGACGTAAATTTTGATACAATTGTCAGTGTCATCCCGATACATTTTGATTTCTACTCTCTCTGTAGACAAACGCTAACGTGGCGTTTGGCTGAAGGCCAAGCAGCTGTAGTCAGATGCCATTTAGCAACTTTCTACATGTAGAATAGAAAACTAAATTATATGGAATTGACGTAAATTTTTACACTTGTCAGTGTCATCTCCGTACATTTAGTTTTCTACTCTCTCTCTGTAGACAAGCGCTAAATTGGCGTTTAGCTAAAGGCACACGTGTCCATGGGCGACGCCGATTGCTTATCATCAGGTGATCCATCTGCTCGTTTACAGGCCATAAAATAAAACGCCCATAAAAAATCTGTGTTTATCAATTATATGACGAAATAGGTACACGATCACATTTGGCTTATTAAAAGCTTATAGAATCGACAAGCTTAAAAATCAGATTTTTTTCAGACGAAATTATAACGAATTTTATAAAAAAAAATTGAACGCCTCTGTCAAAATGATTTAATCTAAGTAATACAATGAAATGAAGTTGTTATTTAGTATATAGGCTTCCCCTGTGATATTTATGCGACTTAAAATTACTAGAGAAGTGTGTGCAGTGTGTGAGCAGTGTGCGTAATTTTCCATATTACGTGAAGTCCTCTACAAACTTCTCCGGAATATAATTATTATATATAGACTCATAGTAAATTACAAAGCTTTTAACAATAAATCCTTGAAGTTGTCAATGATTTCTAGAGAATACACTTACGTCTTCCGACCTAACATAAATGAGGACAAATGAATTTTTCAACTGTACCTATGTAGTTTACTGTATCAATAGACAATAAAACTCATTAAATATTAAATCAATACCTATAGCATTGTCATACCAGAGATAGAACTTGTATTAAAATTACAGGTAGATGAAGTCGTTGAAATAAACTCTTTCGTGTACTTAAACATAGCATTCGATCGATATTTTCAGTGTTTAATAGGGTTTAAAAACAGCCACTCAGACAGCGACAGTACCCCACTCTCCCCCGTGAAGGGAAGCGAACGATCATCGAGGGCTGATGGTAGGTCTACCACCGCCCGCCTCACGCTCAGGGCACCGCGCCACATCTCATCAACGTGACTGGTGAGGACTCACATAGTGTGAAAGTCTCGAGAAGAGCTTACTATAGAAATGATCCTATGAAGTAAGGTCTTAACTGTCGCCACCGAACCGACGAGGGTCATTCTTTCGCGGAGAATCTTAACACCGCGATTCACAAAATGACGTCACGGCACAGTGACATCTAGCGGTTTCGCTTCAAAGTTTGTATGGTGATGATTAATGTTGAGTGTTGTCATTGATTGCCGGTGTTATTTACTGATATTGTAAAATAAAAAGTTTATTTTTTATAGCTAGTTAGTTTTAAAATTATTTATGTAACATTACTGATACTGTTTCAAAACATCATACAATATGTATTTGTATTTTACTCGTGATATTAGTAGCGACATCTAGTATTTGGCCGCTGTAACTCAGATCTATATATAGATCATAATGGCAGCCATGACAGCTGCGCGAGCGCTACGTAACTTGCTACGATAATGGAAGACGTCAGAGTGGTACTTTTAAACACTTTTTTAATTGTGTTTTAATTATTATGCTCTCAGAGATTGGGATTTTTTTGAAATGTATCATTTTAATTTATTTTTATTTTTTATACTAAGATAAAAAAAATCTTAAACGTAATATATGTCATGTTATTACAGCCGAAAATTCCCAAGCGTGTCATCGAAACCATTTTGTTTTATCTTGACTTTAAATATTTGGAACTCATCTGGGAACCTCACAATTTTTCTTTACAATCTATATTAAGTATTTTGCAATTGAATCAAAAACAGTAAAATTTTATTTAAACATCGTTATTGGATACTATGACCTTAATAAAAATGGCTGCTGAATAAAGGAGAATAATATAAATGATTGCGACCATAGATATAATAATCTATCTTTAATATTACTGTGATTACGACACTATCTTACCATATGACCTACTTATGTCTTTCCAAAACATAAAGGTTGTGCTGTAAAAATGAACTGTGACTTTTACGAAACTTAGCAGTTTTACATTAGTTTAGTATTGAGATAAAATAAGTAAAATGAAGCTATCAGATCACATCAACAGCCTATAAATGCCTACTGCTGAGCAAAGCATATTCTCACACGGAGAAGGTTTGAGCATTAATCACCACGCTTGCTCAATGCAGGTTGGCGATTTCAAACTCATAAGTAACATGAAATTATAAGCCCTCGTTTCCTCACGATGTTTTCCTTCACCGTTTGTCAGTGGTGTCTGAATAATCTTAAAAAAAACATATGGAAATTTGGAAAAAGTCACATTGGTACTTGCCGTTAGTAGGTTTTGACTCCGCACCCTCATGCATGAGATGTGGGCGTCTTAAACCTCCGGGCCACCACGACACAAAATTAAGCTAGATTAGACCAAAATCAAAGGTTAAATGGGAAAATCGTAGACAGTAGTGATTATCGTCGATGTTTATACACGTCAACAGTTCAAGGCAAACGCGATACCTTCCTTACACAGCTATATTATAATCATCCACAAACATATAAAGAAGTGACAGCAAGACAATCTTACCAAAGTGAGAGATTTGAGCACCCTAAAGTGACAGAAACAAGCCACTTAATATTGAAACGCTCACATCAAACAAGAGTTCAAATTCAAATTGAGATCAGTTTCACACGTATCTGAGAACTTATGCATAACTTTGGAACTTTCAACTGTACTAACCTGTTCAGGAAGTATTATTTCGGGTGTACAGCCGGCGTCTTGGAAAGTTTCCGCTCGAGAGAAGTTGAGGCAGTGAATATCAGTCACTTTGAGATAGGGGTCGTGGTGCGGCACATGTATGGGGATACATCTCGGGTCTTTGTCGCCTATTGGTGTACAGCAATACTGCCTTCGCTTGAGGTAGTCCACTGAAAATAAAAGTCTTTTTTAAGGGGGAAAATCATCGAATGACTTCTCCCGCCTGGGTGAGACGGGAGGTAGTGTCAGACGGTTACTGACTAAAAACCACCCCGTTCCTACTCCTGCCCTTCGAGCCGGAGCCCCGGCAAGCTATTAAGTCCTCCGCGGCAAACGAACAGTCAAGATTGATAATTGATTGTTAATATTGTTTTTATGTACTTATTTAAGTACTGATTCTTGTATCTTGTTTGCTTTATTTACTAAAATGTAAAAAAAAAGAATTTTGCCAATGATACCCATCCTCTCTCTCCAACATTTTTGTTAGCAACAAATAACTGGCTAAAATAGTTTAACTTACCATCACCAGGTTCTATAATATTATCATCTGATTTTACAAATACTTTTTTATTTCTTTTCATTTGCTTTCCGAATGTCTCTCAAGCAGTTAGTTGTGACATCTATACTCACATGGTCCATCCATAACACTGATATCTCTATGAATGAACTCCATCATGTGGACGGCAGCCACATTGAACGTGACCTTATCTTCGACTCGACCGGTGGTGTGCAGTTCCGTCCGAACCTTCCGGGCTGATGGTAGCGGCTTGCTGTGTCTGTTCATGCGGATATGCCGATCTGAGGATGATGGAAAGGATAAATGTTCTATTGTTTTACTTATCACATCTAGATAGTAGGGAGAAACTATCATAATATACGGATTATTATGATAAACAATACCATTACTATAGTTGGGTAAAAAATCAGTTTCTACGAAAACAAAAAATCTTCAGTGGTCAGTTTTGTGTGTAGGTGATCTTACACATTTTGCTAGTGTTTTTCACAACTTCCTAGAGTGGTTATCCATTCTTAATTCATTGTTTTTAAATACAAACAATGTTGTAAAAATCCGGATTTGCGCATCCGCCTGTATGTTTTTATGTAATTTAATGACTATTATAGCCAAAGTTATTGAAAAAATCGTAATTACTATTTACAGTGGCTGTGTAATGGTTTCAAAATTGTTAGTTACCTTGTGTAGGTACTTTATAACACAACCGAGCAAAAAAAAAACAAAGAAACCTTCAGGGATTAGCAACAAAAACAAAAAAAGACTCATTTAAGAAATAAACAATAGAATCCATATGAGAAATTGAAGATGAATTCAGTATTACAGAGACGATAATATTGTTATAACTATAGAAAGAGTATTTCACTAATTATATTTTACCATCCTAACTAGTCACGAATGTATAATATACACCGTGAAATCTATTTGGTCTTTGTTCCAGGGCAAAGCAACTTGCCATAAACAGTTCTTTCGATGTATAAAGTAAAAACAAAAAAATAAATAAATAAAGACGTAAGTTTTTTTACTGAAATACGCACATGAAATACTAGACGTAAATTTGCAGACACTGTTCGCATCACACGTGCCGAGAAATATCAAAAATCAAGAATTACATGGCGTGATGTTTTGATAATGTTCTATGAGTTCGTATGCACTTTCTTTTTTGCAATAGTTCACCAGTTATTTTTTGTTTTGAACATTTTATTTGTTTATAAAACTACTAGCTTCTGCCCACTACTTCATACGCGCAATCCCATTTCCCCCCCGTTCCCGTTCGTGATTTTTGGTAAAAGTAAAAAAAAAATAGATAAAAAGTATCCTATGTCCGTCTCCTGGTTCTAAGCTACCTCCCCGCTAATTTTCATCATCGATTTAGTCGTTCTTGAGTTATAAATAGTGTAACTAACACGACTTTCTTTTATATATATATATAGATAGATTGTATTTCCAAAACAGAACCATTTTACTTCGGGATGAAAACGACATAGATTTTGCTTTGTATACATGTAACAAAGTTTCGACAAGTAAGTATCACTTACCGTTGGCATAATCTGGCTTCAAGAGTCTCAGATACGGTCCTTTTGCAGATCCCCTGGTTGGGTACTTGTAGTTGTTACACGTGCCATCAACCCGGCTGCCTTCGTGGGGAGTACATGGTCTTACTTCTATCGAGCATCGCCTTTGGAATATTTGAACGAATGATGATAATAACTTATTAGTCTACGACACCTTGAAGTGGTAGATAGAGGTGCATTCGTTTTTTAAGGGGGGAAATCATCGAATGACTGCTCCCGCCTGGGTGAGGCGGGAGGGAGTGTCAGACTCTTACTGACTATAAAACCACCCCGTTCCTATTCTTGCACGTCGAGCCGGAGCCCCATGTAATGTTGTTCCATTGAATTCTCAAAATTTAAGTCTTATATTAGGGCAGGAACGTGGGCAATGCGATAAACTAGGTATGTACATACATATTGAACCTACATGGTGTCCTTTGTGAACAGGAAATTTGCAAAATCTGCTTCAAGCAAAAAAGTATGATGTCTATATCACCCTTTGGCTTGCTCCTTTGGCTTGACACCAGACGCAAAAACGCTTCAAATAAACTGACTATCGAGTTTATTATTATTATTGGGGTAAAAAAAACTCACTCTGTAGCATTTTTCAATCGCAGCTCCTTAGCTTGAGCGACTTCAACCTTTTTTCCAGAATATCGGTCAAAATGTCCGGATTCCACTCGATAAACCACGGTTAATATTAAAACGATAGAAAAATAATTCATTTTTCTACACGACGACTACACTGTGCCCTTCGCGGAACACTAAACAGGACCAAGCTATGTTTTGTAATCCTAAACGCGTTGCACAAACTGAATCAATCGATTACTTCTTTCCTGTCGTGAATTTAATAGAGGATGTCGAAAAAATATTCATTACAATCCTTCTTTACAAAATATTCTATATTGAACAATACGGATGTTTACTGCCAGTAGGTAAGTATAATTGGTTTATTTTTTCTAAATTTCAATTATGTATGTATGACCGTTGTCCGATGACTTCTATATCATTGAGTTTATGTATCAGCAAGGACGTTAAAAAAAACATAACATAACATAACATCACGCCTTTTATCCCCGAAGGGATAGGCAGAGGTGTACATCATGCCACTGTACAATGTACCACCCACTTTTCACTATTTATGTGTTATGAGTCCCATGTAATAGGTAGGGGGTGAGCCTTATACCGGGCACTTTTCCAGACTCCATGCTACTACTGAGAATTTTTAAAAACCCTGTAGTACTTTGTCCAACCCGGGAATCGAAACCGAGGTATATGTATACGTATATCATCTTCATTCAACATCAACAGCCTATAAATAACCGCTACTGATCAAAAGCCTCGTCTTGACGGAGATAACTTAAGATGGTATGTATATAACTTAGAAAAAATATTATGGAACCCATTATGGCCACTATATTAGGCATCTAGACAAAATAGTATCTAGGTACCTAATTGTGGACTTCATTTTAATAAGGATAGCAAAATATTTCGACAGTTAGCCAATTCTCGAATCCCTCATAATCCTCAAATTCCCAATTTCCAAAAGGCTGGTAACGCACTTGAAACGTCTCTGGTGTTGCATGTGTCCATGGGCGGCGTCGATTGCTTACTATCAGGTGATCCGTCTGGTCCTTTACCGGCTTATCTCATAAAAAGTTATTTATTTTCTAATCTGTTAACCTACTTTTCGACAAAATGAAATTTCCATCCAAATTGCTTGTAAGTACGAAATTGAACAAGAACTAGAAAATAACAATATAAATACTGCTTTTGACAGCAACAACTGCATGTTACGAATGGAACAATTAACATGTAGCGCGTAAAACTCATATGTCAAGAAAGCAGTCATGTTCAACTCGTTATCGTGCGCCTGTCAAATGTTAGTAAACAAGAAATTATGTAATAGAAATGTAATAGAACTAGCGTGCCAACAGTGTCGCGGGCGCCGCTGTCGCCGATCGATACCACAAATCAAGGAAAGTGCGCGTGAATCACGGCAGAGGGCGCGCTGGGCCCGCAGGCTCGAGTAGCCAGCGCAGCGTGGCAGTCGCCGCGTCGCAGGTCGCAAAATGCTGCTCATGAATATGAGCCTCTAGGATGGCTTTTTTTTAAGGGGGGAAAATCATCGAATGCCTGCTCCCGCCTGGGTGAGGCGGGAGGGAGTGTCAGACTCTTACTGACTAAAAACCACCCTGTTCCTTCTCCTGCACGTCGAGCCGAAGCCCCGGTTACCCGTTAGGTTCTCCGCGACTCCGAGACTCTAGCATGGCTTGAAACTCATCGAGTTCCTAGTCAAATAATTACCTACGTGGGTTAGTCGAAAACATAATAATTTATGTAATAGAAGGTAAAGGTTATTAGAAAAATAGACTTCATACCATAATCAATAAGAAAGCAATAAATAAGCAATTAAGCATAATAAATAGGCATAATAAAGCATTAAGAAAGTTGGTTCTATCAATAATCAGTTATATTTTTTCTGTAATTTTCTTCGCAGGTTAGTTACAATTACTAACTATTTTATATTAAAAGAGTTCTTTATTTATTTAAGCATACGAAATCGGACAGTAAAATCTTTTGAAATCCACGTTCATGCTCACTTGACATTGTCAGAACAACAAAGATAAACTGAACGGTAAAACCATTACTAAAATTATAAAACCAAAATTCGTCAACATAACAGCTCAACTATACAAAGTTCATAATAGGGTCTAACTAATAGATGCCTAATTTTTACTTTAACGTCCGTCTGGTAGATTATTTTGAAAACAGTAGACACGTATTTTTTATTTTCTTACAGAAACAAATACTTTTGACGATATTATTATATTTATTTGAAATGTCGCGTGACGTCACTTCTATACTATGTACATTTTATACGTAGAAATGACGTTTTAGCCCCCACTCTTAAACTTTGATTAACTTTATCTAAGTATTATTTTATTATACGACAAAATAAAAAAATACGTGTCTTATATTTTTTCATTACCTAACTTACGGACTAATTAGATTTTTAATTTTCATACCCCGTCATCATCCCTATTATGCCAATTTAAAAATTCCAAATCTAAATATAAATCACAGAAAATTAATTTAAAAACAAGTCAAGTTTTATTTATATTCGAATGGGGACTCAACCGCGTTGTATCTCTGAGAAAAAAGTTTTAATGAGTTTCTTTTACTTGGGTTGCAGGTACTGTACGGAATGCGGAGTGTAATGAGAGGTCGCTCTGATCTGGGCAAACATACCCGAGGTTCAGACGAAGCTAGGGTTGAGTTTTATTATGTTTATTGCGAAGTTGATTCGTTGATCGTGAATTTTATACATTGATCAATTCAAAAGTGGCTTCTAATCGGGAAATCTTTTTTTTTCAAACAAATATATTTATGTATTTCCATTTTGTTCACATATACTTAATCTAAGCTTATTATTTAATTATTCTAGGTAGGTTACAATACAATGCCTGTATAGAATTCAATCTGTACTACTTTGCGGTCGCGTGCATTATACTATTAGGATAAAATAACCAAGCCTTAACAATATTATTTTTACAGTCACCAATATTAACAAACCTTACGTATACATAAGTTAGGAAACACTACATTTATTAAAATAATTATTATCTATTTATACTTAAAAAATCTGGAAATCATTGGGTAAGATCTATGCTCAGCTTGCTTTATAGCTGATAATAATGTATTAGTGATAATGACTAATACAATACTTAAAAAAATACTTCACTAATAATCTAATAATAATCATTTATTGCAGACCATGTCTATACCTAATGTTTTTATAATAACTATCATGTGACATACTGAATGAACTAAAAATCGCGGGTTACTTACTCACGTGAATGTATTAAGAAAAGTTCTACTAGTTTTGAGCCACAGAGGGGCTCTTCCTCATGAGCAGCGTGCGCAGTCGCGGCGATGTCGCGCCGCCTACTGGCTACTAGTAGAGCTTTTCTCGGTATCGGAGTAGCCCACGATTGTTAGTTAGTCAATCTTGTTAGTAACATTTAACTTGAAAACTAATATTAGTAGACATATAATCATTTTATTAATACACAAACTTAAATAAAATAAATACTAACTATTACTAAATACAAACAACTTCAGATAAAAATTAAATAAAAGAAAACTAAAAATAGCTATTTACACAAAGCACCAAAAAATTCGTCCGCATCGACGTTAGTAGGGAAAGTACTTACCCAGAAAGCTGGTAGCATTTCCACGTTGTATGGCCATGCTTAACCTCTGACCGAGAAAAAGACCAGTCCTCTAGTCACGAGATGCGTCGACTAGGAGATTCGAAATGTTTTTGAATAATTTATGGGCAAATATAACTAAGGTTGTTATACTTGCGGTTTTCTGCAGAAACAATAAGTCAATACAGGTACACAAACAATTAGATACAGACAGGCCAGTAGATATAAAAGCATACCTACAATATACTTAACATTTGTGTGATTGTTTTAATTTATTTGCCTTCTTTCTTTTCGTACCATTCCCACGGTGGATTCCTATAAACCTTGTAAACCGTAATTGCACCTGTGTTATTTAAATTCACAGTGAATTGGTTTATTTATTACGCTTTCATGATTTAATCACTGAACCGGTAATATTTCATTCATATACATATTTGCAAGTGAAGTATAGTTAACTTCTCGTGGTTTTCCATACTTTTTGCTTTTGTGCATACGTCATTTATTGACTTAATTTTAAGTCTTACTTATACAAACACTTTATATGTTATATGTTAAATATCTTTATCATTAAAATGACTGGCTCGTTGGCCGAGTTCCGGGTTCGATTTCTGGGTCAGGCTGTAAGTAAGTAAGTATTACTGAGTTTAAAAAAAAATCACATTAGTAGCACGGAGTTTGGAATTGTGCCAGGTATATGACAATATGCTCACCTACTATTATATGGGACTGGGACATGGGACATATATAAAAGTGAAAAGTAGGTGTTACATTGTACAGTGGCATTAAATGCCATAATGTGCACCTCTAGTACCTCTACCTACCCCTTCGGTGATAAAAGACGTGAGGTTATGTTATGTTTATTAAAATGAATATAATGTCGAGTAATCTAAGTAGGAGAAAATATGGCTGAAGCAGCTGTGAATAAGTACCAAGTTGAGATGTAACAACCCGAAGCAATTTGTTTCTTTAGAATATCTTTAGAAGTGATTTCATTAGTGTCTGTATTGTATAATAATAATGATTTAAGTTTACTCTGATAGTGGGTTGTAAGACTAATTACCTTTATCTAGTAATATGACTGCTCAGTCAAAGGTTTTGAAAAAATGTGATTCTTCAGAATTTTGCGTTTTTGCGATGATTTTAGTGCAAAACCCACGTATTATAACCATAACTACGTATAACATCAAATCCACCGTAACCTAGACTTAGGTATTATGTAATTAAATAATTTTAGAAAATATGTAAAAAAGACGCCCGCTTCTCATGCACGAGGGTGCGACCAATACTTACCTACCACTACCAATACCGGGCGTCGGGGATCGCGAGACGATCTCCGGCCACCGTAAGCGCGGGCCTGCGGACGGCGAGCATGGGTGGCTCCCCGTTCGACCAGAAACAGACCCGAGCGTCCGGCGCGTCGCGTTCCGCGCGCGCCTCAAAGAGCCATCAGACCACCACAGATGGGGCCCAATAGG